TATTTACTTTGAAAAAGGTAGAACTTATTATTTACTGTGAAAAAGGTAGAACTTATTATTTACTGTGAAAAAGGTAGAACTTATTATTTACTTTGAAAAGGGTAGAACTTATTATTCACTGTGAAAAGGGTAGAACTTATTATTTACTTTGAAAAGGTAGAACTTATTATTTACTGTGAAAAGGTAGAACTTATTATTTACTGTGAAAAAGGTACAACTTATTATTTACTGTGAAAAAGGTACAACTTATTATTCACTGTGAAAAAGGTACAACTTATTATTCACTGTGAAAAGGGTAGAACTTATTATTTACTTTGAAAAGGTAGAACTTATTATTTACAGTGAAAAGGGTAGAACTTATTATTTACTGTGAAAAAGGTAGAACTCATTCACTGTGAAAAGGGTAGAACTCATTCACTGTGAAAAGAGTAGAACTTATTATTCACTGTGAAAAGGGTAGAACTTACATGGTGTATGGTGTTGTTAGAGCTAGATAATGTATGGTGTTGTTATAGCTAGATATTGTACGATGTTGTTATAGCTAGATATTGTACGATGTTGTTAGAGCTAGATAATGTATGGTGTTGTTAGAACTAGATAATGTATGGTGTTGTTAGAGCTAGATAATGTATGGTGTTGTTAGAGCTAGATAATGTATGGTGTTGTTAGAGCTAGATAATGTACGGTGTTGTTAGAGCTAGATAATGTACGGTGTTGTTAGAGCTAGATAATGTACGGTGTTGTTAGAGCTAGATAATGTGCGGTGTTGTTAGAGCTAGATAATGTGCGGTGTTGTTAGAGCTAGATAATGTGCGGTGTTGTTAGAGCTAGATAATGTGCGGTGTTGTTAGAGCTAGATAATGTGCGGTGTTGTTAGAGCTAGATAATGTGCGGTGTTGTTATCGCTAGATAATGTACGGTGTTGTTAGAGCTAGATAATGTACGGTGTTGTTAGAGCTAGATAATGTACGGTGTTGTTAGACCTAGATAATGTGCGGTGTTGTTATAGCTAGATAATGTGCGGTGTTGTTATAGCTAGATAATGTGCAGTGTTGTTATAGCTAGATAATGTGCGGTGTTGTTATAGGTAGATACTGTACGGTGTTGTTCTTGCTGTAGTCAGATACATGGTTTTCTGTAAACAGAAGTGTTGTGGTTATTCAGAATTTACGTTGCGACTTTGATTATGATTGGCATTACTGTGGTTATATCTTCATTTATATTTATAAATTACTTTAACAAAAAACAAAGAAAAACGTACCAACGGGTATGAATTCCTGAGTTAATGTTTTTACTGTGGAGGCCAACCAGACCTGTTCTCTTCCACCTCTGCTATCCGGTGTCAACAGCCAGGGGGATGGATCACTCTCAGTCAAAGCTGTCTGTGACGTGATCCGTTGCTAGATGGAGACATATGTGGACCAAGGGTATCTCTAAGAGTCATTCTGAGGCGGCTTTTGCAAATGACCCGGGACCAGCTGTGAAGTATTTTGACTCAGTTTTTCTGGCTCCTTCTTTCACTAGGTATATTTAGATATGCAATGGATGGACCCTTTTTTGGCCCTGGGGGGAGTTACATTGGAATCTGTGATCAATTTAAGCAGATCACAGTTTACTTGGAATTGTGTTACTCTCTTGACTGTTTTGAAGTATTTATATTCAATCCAACTTTTATGAGAAACCTATCAGTGTTCCCCCAAGCAAGTTGAGAACAAGTTAGGGATTTTTCTGAGATCTACCACAGTCAGATTGTCTTCTTCAGTTCTTTCTCTGGTTTCCTGGTTGGTTTGTTGTTGGGATTCATTAGGTAGAGACACTTTGTTAGAAAGTGTTTGCTTACCATTTTCTGCCCTCAGGGAATTACGGAAATTTCCTTTTCTCCCTTCCATGTTGTTTGCTGGTGTTCCACAGACGTTAGAATCAAGATTGATTACGCTCGTTTACATTCTTCTTTATCGGTGTTCACTTCTTGCCTTTCTGGCACTAATTTGAGAGTGTCAGCTCGTAGTGTTTCCAGACCTCCTCCTTCGGTTCCTGTAATAGTCCGTCTGTATTCTCAAAGAACTTCAACTTGGACAAACCATTGACAACAGCGTCGTTGACTATCCCATGGGCAGGGGAGCATGGTTACATCACTTTCTAAACATCTCTTCCCAGATTTTATTCCTGTTCATTCATTGTACCCAGGAAGACAGGAGATTGGTGTCCAATCATCCTCTACGCTTTACTATGAATTCTTTTGTCAACCTATAATGGCACTTTGCGCCAGAGCTCTGGATGACCAAGTTCAATGTTACCAATGCTTATCTCTATATTCCCGTAGCGAAATCTTCTCGGAGGTTTCTCAGATTTGTGCTCAAGGGTCAGGTGCTGTAGTTACGGGCTCTATCTTTTGGTCTTGCATCAACACCTTATGTTTTGTGCAGAGTTCTTTGAGCTTTTTCTCACCATCTGCATTCCTTGGGCCTGTGCACACATCATTATATGGACGACTGGCTTTTCTGCACCATCCTGTCAATTAGCAGAACAACACTCTCAGATTCTCCTTTCAGAAGCCACAAAAGTAGGCTTCCTTATCAGACTGGAGAAATCTATTCTGTCACCAACACAATGTCTCATCCATCTGGGTGTTTGTTTTTCAATATTCACTTAAGTTGCATTCAACTGACCCCCTATCAGGCTTCAAGCCATTAAAAGAGTCGTCAGGCTTTTTCTTATGTCTCCTCCTCCTACTGTGCAGATGGTTCTCTCTCTCTTTTGGGGATGTGGGCATCCCTCGAGTCTTTCATTCCTTTGTGACAAGAACATATGAGGCCCCTTCAGTGGTCACCATATCTCCACACCGAGATTGTGTCATCTATATATCTTATCCAAATATCAAGTTTACATTTTTGCACCATTTATGACTTATTTCAAATGCATCCATATACAAGTAGCATAACAAAGGTGAAAGTGGGGATTCCATTGTTAACCTGAAAAAATGGATTCTTTACAAACATTTTCGTTAGATTAATTATATTTCTAATTTCAGTGGCTTAAGTTTTATTTTGTAACATCATATCTTTTAATTGTATCTTCTTCTGGAACTTTTGTAAATAGTGGCACTAACATATCTTCCTTACTCAATTTTACATTTGTCTTTTTTCTACAAATTCTAAATGATTTTTAACTGTATATTTATTTATTTTTCTCAAACAAGAATACTTCTGAGCTATATATGTATTTGGCTATTTGATATGATGATGTACCTATAGTCGACACTATTGTTCTAAAATTGTTATTAATTTTATGTATTTTTCAAAGTACATAAAATCATGGAGTAATAAAATTAAATGCAATAAATCTACTCCTCTCTGCATCTGTTAAACAGTTTTTAACACTTGTTTTTTTACTAATTCATGATACTTATTTGTAGGGTTGTGCTTAGGTTTTTCATAGTTACCCTCATTTAATAAGTCTCCCACATCTTTATTATAGTCACACTTATTATGTTGTACAATTTGCTCTCCTTTATCTACTGCTTTAGAAATGAAAATATTATCTCTAAATGATTTTACACTTTTAATTTCTATGGTTTGTTTCCTCCTCACAGGGTTGAAATTTCCTAAAGTTTATGACATCCAGTTCTAATTACGTTTTTAAGAGTTCTCATCTATCACTTAATCTAGATGAGCTTCTGTGTGATTAGTTTCTATATCTGTTATTAATTCTTCTTTTCTAATGCTTGACAGTTTACAAGTTTTTCTGATGATGACATGGTAAACATTGAAACATGCAATCAAGAGTCCACATTTTAGAAGTTTTTTTAATTGTGTATCAATTTTTAACATTGTATGTTATTTATTATTATATTAACATTATACACAAGTGTCTGGAAGTGGGAGCCATGGCAAAGAAGTTTTCAAGACAAAGTAAACTACAACTTTGGGGGAGATATAAAAGAAAGGTTATTCCAAAATGTATATAAGTGGAATGTAATATCAAAGGATAACATTATTAGTTAATGATCAGATTGTTAATTGATGTTACTTAACTAGTACTATTTAAAATTGTATTATTCTTGTTCGTACAATCATATAATCAATTTCTCTGCAAATGACAAACTAGCATTAACAAAAACTTGTTGCTTAATGTATGAAAATAATTAATAAATTTTTAAAACTTTTGTTTACTAGTTCAAGGGACACAATTGGAGGCTAAAATGGAGCGACCTCCCGTCACTGATCCAGACGAGACTGAGGCTAAGCTAGCACCATTACAACCAGATACTAAATATCGTATCACCATTAGAGCTATGACAAGTAAAGGTCAAGGAGAGCCTTACTATATTGAAGCCACCACTGATGAAGAGCCAGAAACTGGTAAGATACATCACTTCTTAATGTGAATTTAAAGTTGTAATAATATAAATAAAGAATAAATAAGTTATGATGTTAGAATAAATTATGTGATTTATAATGTGTTCACTGTACATCTAGCTAGTGCTTTCCACAGTTTAACTTTCAATACTAATTTACCTGTGATATCATCATTGTGGTAGTAGTAGTTTCCGTAAGTTAACTTTTAATACTAACATACATAGGATTTAACTTATAGTAGACTGTTGTATTTCCAGTAATGTGATGCACTAAGGTGTTTAATCAGGGTGTTCATAGGGGAACGTTGACCTAAGATTGTACAGGGTGTCACAGAAGTCTGTATATCAATATTAGCAGTATATCATAACAGTTTTTATACAGTAAGTTGTTATTGTAGGTTTGAACATTCTTCTCAAGTTAATAATATTTATCACTAACACCCGATGTGCTGAACAGTATATCATGACAGTTTTTATACTGTAAGTTGTTATTGTAGGTTTGAACATTCTTCTCAAGTTAATAATGTTTATCACTAGCACCCGATGTTCCTGAATTAATATGGTCTCAACTTCCCAATGAAGAAGGAAAGGCAGGAATTGAAGTGACGTGGATTCCAGTAGTTGATGGCAACCCTGGAAGTCACTTTTTTGTGCAGTATAGACATAAAGGTAAAGTATATCCTAATAGTAAAGTAGGACCTGAAGTTTTTGCAGTATAAATATAAAGTACGTGTTAATAGTAAAGTAGGACCTGAAGTTTTTACAGTATAGATATAAAGTACATCCTAATAGTAAAGTAGGACCTGAAGTTTTTACAGTATAGACGTAAAGTAGGACCTGAAGTTTTTACAGTATAGATATAAAGTACGTGTTAATAATAAAGTAGGACCTGAAGTTTTTACAGTATAAATATAAAGTACGTGTTAATAGTATAGAAGGACCTGAAGTTTTTACAGTATAGATATAAAGTAGGACCTGAAGTTTTTAC